TTCAATTACCTGTCAAATCTGGACAGGACGGCCTTTCAGGCCTTTTTTTATTGTCATTATAGTATTACGGGGAACCCCGTAGCAGCCACATCCGTGCTCAAGCCTCCAGCGAGGGAACATGCGGGAGCTGCACCCACCAGCAGGTGCGATACCTGCTACAGCAGGTGGGCGATACCAGCCAGGGGTCAGCCGGTAGCATCAGGACCGAGCTTCTTCGATGGGCCAGTCACTGTGCCTCTCCTCCGGTATGTTTTTTTTGTCTTTTTTTCTTCTTTTTTTTTTTTCCGTGATGTGCTACCAGTTTTCCGAGGCTCGGCAATAAAGTCCGAGGCTCGGGAATGATCGGGCTACCGGTAGTCCGAGCCTCGGACTTGATAGCTGGGCGAGGTACTGGTGGTTTAAGAAACGAAGGGGTCTGGGAGGTACAAACGGCCAACACCCGCTTGAAAAAAAACAAACAAAAAGACATGCACCTCTTCACGTCCATCTGAATGGGCTTCCTATGTGCTTGAAATCTAACATGAGAGATGACGCGTCATGGCAAGTAACATCGCGTCACAGAGGCACGAGGGGGGCGGGGAGGGGGGACAAAAGTTGTTGACAGGCACACTTGAGCTTGATGCCTGTGTGCCGGAGCAAAAAACATCGCCGGACAGAGGCAAGGGAACAAAGGAAGAGAAAGGCCTAGAACTGCACGAAAAGAGGGTTTCTAACGGCTGCTTCCCTTCGGAGCGTGCTAGCTGTGTACTTGCATTCAAATGTTATGAACTTGGTTGTCTGACGATTTTCACCGCCACTCACACACAGACACTCTCATACACGCCCATGCATGCATAAGACGAGGGGGAGAGGGGACAGAGTCCAAACGGCACACGGATCAAAGTAAGCAGCGAAACACAACCATGCACAGATGGGGAGAGACACACAGTATTTCTCACTCTCTGACAATACTCCCAACAACCAATCACAAGGAGACACTTGCGAGGATAACAATAGGATTTACACTGATGATGAGCCAACTCGAACCAATTATCGTTACAGAGTTTGTTTCAGTATCTCGCCACCCAGTTAACTCCACACTCCACTCTCTACCCTACACCCAGTTAGTAGCGCAACACTGAGAAGGCCTCCCAGAGGCCAGCGCCAACCGCCCAGATGAAGAACAGGTCCCGGGATGAAGTCTTCAGTGCCGATGAACAACTCTGACGAGGAAACAGGCAGCTATGGCTGCCGCACCACTGACATAGCCCTGATATCTCCAGATGCGAGATGGGTGACAGTGGTCCACCCACGAATACCCAGTGAAGAGCCTCAATCTATCCCAGCCAGACGCAGATACCCCCAGGGGTAGATGCGCTGAGGATGCCCCAGCTATGGCAACCTCCAGCAGGCTGGCTATGGCTGCCGTCCACGGCGAGCGTCTCAGGATGCCGCCTGTAGACAATCACCACCACCAACTTGCTTGGCTCCGAACGCTGCATCGCAAAAATGAAAAGCCAAAAGTCCCTAAACCACAGGCTCAGTCCTATTAATAGACTAGCCTACTCTAGACCTAGACCTACTGGACCGGTACCGCATCAGTTTGGCCTGCTCGGCCTGGGCCCTACCCAGCTATACGGCGTCTAGACCGTCTCTACAGCCCAAGGCCCAGATGGGCCTGCTGTCCTAGTGATAGCCCGGGTCTGCTAAGGGCCGTAACGGCTAAGGGAACTCCGGGCCTGCAATTTTCGTGTAATTGCAGATATGTCCCTTACGAATTTCCCTCAGGAGTGGACCGGTGGTTAGTCCCTGACACAAACAAAATTACAAATCTGTCCCTAAGACACGACTATACAACCTCCCAGTCAGATCTCGGCAGCAGAAATCTGCAAGTCATTGCACAAACATAAGGAGAAGCGCACGAGAAACGACGCATCGTGGTGCAAAGTGGTGCGCAAAAAAAAAAAACACAGAAACAAATGGCTACCAAACAACATGCTGCAGGGAACTTCGTGACATCTCCCTTTCTGATGCGGACGTCAGCCGCAGTCGACGTTTCCGAACTCCTCGACTGACCTAGAAAACAACAAAAAAACAAAAACGAATCGAGGCCGGGGGCTCCTACACCGTGCCTGGGGCCCAGAAATCACAAGGGCAAGCCCTGCCACCATCTAGGAACAGACTCTGCACAAAACAGCAGAACAGCTTCAAAAAGCACAGCAGATCATGATAGAAAAAGGAAAATCAGCATAGAAGAATGCCCCCGTTCCAGGTTAGCAACTCGGCATCGGTTAAGTCATCAGAGTTCAATAAAGAGGAAACATATCACGGAAACCCATGCCTCGGTATTACGGACAATGGAATCTGATTAGGTACTGTAGGGGATGATCTCGATGGTCCCACATATGTGATTCATGTTCCTCCCCATCTTCACACGTAACCCTGTATTTCATGCATCCAAAAGGTAAACCTTTCCAGAAAAGTGATGAGTTACCTTCTCGGCAGTGAACGCTGATGCCGTCAATGACGGTCAAGTTGATATTGATCGAATTGTGGAGCATTGCTATCTCCTGTTACCGGAGCCAACAGCCAGAGGGAGACCATCAAAGCCAGAACTGCAGCTCGGAGTTCACTTCATGGATCCCAGTGAAGATCAGTGATTTACTACTTCAGAAGAGTTAATGAAGTCCGCACCACAGGATGTTTTGCATTACGAGAGGGCTCCCACAGGGAAGAACCGGCAAGAATGAGGGTATCTCAGAGGGCTTTCGAACCAGAGGGGGTACGAACGTGAGGCCCTAAGGCCTGTGCAGCCGGGTAGACAGGTCGGGGCGCAGGTAGCGAGGCCTCAAATCAGGGGCCCAGACAGGGCCAGCTACCGTTAGGTAGGGAGCAGGCCGGTAGCCAATCCCTACAGAGTGGCCAAAACCCAGGCCTGCCTAGTAAAAAGTAGAGGCCAAGGCAGGGCAGGGGCACTTGTTGGCTGGAGCACTTGCTTGCAGCGGAGCGCAGCAAAGCAGCCCGGCGTGTTGACAGTCAGTGCGACCGGTGTGCTGAGTGCGTGTGAGGGAGAAGAGTGGCGGGGTTATGGGGAGGTCCTTGGGAGGTCAGGAAAGGGTGAGAGGCCGGCGGAGACTTACCTGGTCACATCCACTCGGGGATCCAAGGGAGTTGTTCCTTCAGGCTGTGTAGAGTAAAACCTGCGCAGGCTAAGCAGATACCTAGACCCCTTCCCGTTTACTGGCGAAGTAGCCAGTGCTTTCATGTTACCGGGTCTCTTTCGAGTTAGGCAGGTACTATGGGTCCTCTGACTTCCAGTAAAAAAAACAATCGACTGAATGTCGTTCACTAGTAAAGCTTCAATGTGGGTCAAACTCTTCGGCCATCACCACCACAAGCAGGGTAGAGCTTAGCGGATGAGCAGATGATACGATAGATCAGGAAGGAGTGTAGGCAAGCATATCTGCGTTTAGGGCTACTACTCCGTTGTCGTATTTATTGATTGGAAGCAAGAAGTGAAACGGTTTTCACCTTTTAGCAGTAGCGGATGCAGTACCCAGGGTTCGATCCCTAGACCTCACCCTACCCATGTGTTTGAGAACGAGTCTGATTGCAGAAGAGGGCTTTCCTTACCAACGTTGTGTGTGTCCTGCGTTGGTCGATCTCAGCATCGTCAACTCTGCTGTTGGTTTGCGCAACTCACGCTTGCTATTGAATGAGCTCTCGTGTTGTTCAGAGATTTTGCCTCCTCCCATGTCTGTGGCCACCGTTGGAGCTGAGCTGTTGTACCATTCTTCAGTACTAGGTAGTCGGTAGCCATCGGATTCATCCTAGCCTTATCCCACAAAACATGAGGCAGAAAGAGACACAGTCAAGGAGAGAAACGATCGGGTGCTATGGTAGGGGTGGAGGGGAAAGAGAACATACCTCAACCCAACCATTCTTGTGGAAGCCAAATCTGGTCAGTGCTGTGAGTGGCTCTTTGGAAAGCTCCAAATCCACATGTAGTTTATGTGCAGAGCATGTTCCAATCAACACTAACATAGCAACCAGGAGTACGGCCCACTGATGACCACCCGCTGAAGAACTGTGTGCTCGGCACTCCCACATTGAAGACATATTGTGACCGCTTAAGAAGAGGGGGGGAAATCTGGAACAAGCGACCACAAATAACCCCCCTTGATCACCCTCTCCTTCCTGAATTCCACCTTGATGTCCGCTGCGCAATCAACTGTTTCCCCACAGCAAAAACAATATCCGGTCAGTTACTTGATGCCCAGTCTTAGACAGCCCCAACTATGCGGCCTCCTTCACCCTAGCTCACATGCGCTCATGAATCTGTTGCCTTCAAGAGCAGGCACAGCCCAGAACAAGAGTGACAAGGTGAGAAGACGAGTCAGAAGGCTCCAATGCACTAGTCACAGCAACACACAAAGACAGCAACTACAAAAGGAGGTAACAAATAGCATTAAAAAAATAAATTTCTCATAAAATCTGTCACTATTCACGACCTTTGTTGCTAGCCACAGAGGGACTGACTTTTGTGCTCTTCAGCAAACCAGATACCGATCCTGTTCCACTACTGACTGGATTCCAGTTTGGAGAGAGAGCTCTTTCTGCTAGGACAATTTTGTGGCTTCCCTTCTTTTTCTTTTTTTTTTAACCCCTTCTCATTTGCATTCTGCATCAAGTTGAACAAGCAAAAGAAAATGAAAGAATGTGAAGGAAAAAAAAAGGGAACGTCCAAACATGATAAAAAATCATAAAATGGATTCAAGGCTGTGCCTCCTATTGTGGAGAGCAAGTACTGTGAGTTCCCTCTGCCATGACAAGAAAGGAATCCACTTCTGGCAACGGTAACCAACTCCGACGTAGAGGGTTCGCACAGGAGAAACCGTACAGACTGCCTGCACGCAGCAAATACGTCAGGTTACACATTCATGAATTTCATGCAGATATATACAATTACAAATTTACATTCAAAATGATTCAATAAAAATACAGTCGAATCTTTTTTTTTTTTTTTTTTTTTTTTTTTTTTAACAGGTCCTGATGGCCCTGGCTCCATTTCCATTCTGGGGAGCATCAGTCCGGTTCCTATTCCACCGGCAAGTCAGGAAAAATAATTACATCATCGAACACCCTCACGCTTCCTTCCGTTTGGCCAACGGAACCCTGATCAGCATTGATTACTCCAACATCGTGGAGGATTGACTGTCAGCTTGCCCTGCTTCCATCTTTCCTCTCAGGACTACTAAAGAAGCCTGTCAGATAAAACATGAATAGCAAGAAAGGTCTGAGAAGCTGCAGCTGCTGCCGACTCAGTCTAAACCCTAAGCCCCGCTGCTGAGCCTCGTGAAATTCCTAGCATTCTAACCCCTGCTTGTCTTGTTTCTGTCAAAAAACCCTCAACCCTGAACCCTAGACCCTAAGCAAGATTGATCTTTTGCATCTGTTCCATGTGAGAGACATCAGGCTGCCGCCTGTCGCGTAAATCTTGGATGCTCTTCTGGGTCCAAATTGGAGTACCTCCTTCCGCCTGTTGTCGACCCCTGAGATATTCTGCGATGTGTTCCATGTGAAACATCGGCTGCCGCCTGTCTCGCGTGTATCTTGGATGCTCTTCTAGGCCCAAATTGGAGTTGGTTCTTCATGTACCTGGGTACTCTGCTGAGAGACAGATTTGCAAGAATTATGCCACTCTTTCCATCTATTTAATTTAAACTTTGAAGTAAATTAAAGACTTCCCATCTAGCTTTTTTCCATCCCGGTGCCCGGGGTACCCCACCATGCCCTCTCGTGCCCGGGCAGAAAAAGCCACAATTTTTTTTTTGCATCACCGGCGATTCACCGCCCTATTTCCAACGTGCCAATTTTTTTTTCAGCGGTCGGTGCATTTTTTTGGGGGGGTCCGGTTGGCCCCATTTTGTAGCGTTTTTTTTGTGTTTGGATTCTGGCTGCCGATCTGCGTCAATCGACGGCGCGCGCTGCTCCAGGCTTCGAATTGGAATCCTGCCGTGCCAGTACCCCGCCCGGCTCCGCCCTCCAGCCCACGCCACTCGTCACTATGACCATCAACGTCGCCACCGACACCCCACCATAGCTGCTGCCTGATGACGCCAGTGCCCCACCTGTCGCCGCCTGCATCCGCACCATCACTCCTTCCTCTTCAAGGCTCCCGTGACGCCATCCCAAAAAAAGTCCGAGGTAAGTTCTTTTAACTTGTTCTTCTTCTTCTTTGTTTCTCTTCTTTCTTCCTTCCGTCCTTTTTTTTTCTCTCTGAACCTCTTCGTCTTAGAAGTTAGAAAACTTTTCCTGAAAATTCTTCTTCTTGAACTTCTCCGTCTTCTTCATTTCACCTTTTTCTTTTTCTCTCTCTGCATTTCTTCTTTTTCTTTTCTTCTTCTTCTCCTCACTCCACCCTCCTCTAATGTGGGGCTCCTTCCTCCTCGCGCCCTCTCCATCACCTCACCCCCTCACTCCTCACTCCTCCCTTCTCCCTCCTCCCTCCCTCCTCTGACGTGGCACTCGGTCCAGCACAGGCGGCACACAGCAGCTGCTGTATCCCCCACCCCACATATGGGCAGTCCATAATCCACCCCCCTCCTGCACCCCTTCCCCCCCCACAACACACAAATGCACATGCATGAAAATACAAAAAGAGGCCGGATTTGGGCACTACTCCCAAAAGCGCAGCAAAGGTCTGGCAGACTGAGTGTTTTTTTTGCATGCCTGGAGTACCCTGGGTGGGGTGCCCCGGGAAACCTAGCTTCCATATACATGAGGTGCACTGCGCAGTGTGGTGCGCTGATCGCAGATGCACGGGGGAAAAAAGAAAAGAAAAGCAACCGTGATGCGTGTATACACTGTATACACCCTGGAGAGAGAGAGAGAGAGAGAGAGAGAGAGAGAGCCCTTTGGCCTGAAAGTATTCACACTGCAGACACCCAGTCCCGGTCCCAAGGTTCCAACAAGTCCCAAGTCCCAGGGCCGTCCCATAGGGTAGGCCGTAGGGTCTAGAGGCCGAAGCGTCGTAGCTCGGTTGGAGTCCGTCCGGTACCTGTCAAGAAAAGTCCAGAAGCGTCCGGTCCAGTCCGACAGTCCCAAGTTCAATTTTTTTGCAGCATGTCCCAGGAAAGTCCGGAAGCTACCGGACCGACAAAATGTTTGCAGTAGACAGGCCGCGGCCGACCGGTACCAGTCTGAAGCAGGCCAAGCCAAGCCAAGACCAGCGAAGCCAAGTCCTATATTTAGCTGCTACAGTGCAGCGGCTCATCACTTGTTCAGTTGCGAGATGCGAAGTGCAACTTGGGCACTGCGCGCCCGAAGAAGAAGAGGGCGCTTGAGAGGTACTCTATAGCTAGGCTAGCGGTAGAGCAGGAGGACGGCGGCCATAGCCGCCAAGGTGTAAGCTACCTGAGTGGGTGTATCCAGGGTTGTCCAGGGTAGAGAGAGATAGAGAAGAGAGCGAGTGAGGCAGAGCGAGTCAAGTCAGAGAGAGAGAGAAAAGAGGGGAGAAGCCATTGTGCGTGTGTGTGCGGCAGAGCCGCAGGAGACCAACATTCTTGTATATTGACAATAATATTGGAGACGACATCTTCAAGCGTTGATTGTATCTCAATTCGGCTTCTCACGTGTGAACTCTCATGGGACTGTTCATTGATGTATGCGAGGTTGAACTTGACGGGGTACTTGGCTCATTTCAGAAATCCCCTGCCCACTCTTCAAAAATTCCCTGCCTACTTAGCAAGGATCTCGTCAGCAGGAGAAGGATAGTCGCTGGGCTCGTAGTAACGAGGGAACAGGCCAGCTATATATCGTGTAGCTTCAAATTCAGGTCCGTGTTTCAGCAGTTATGGGTTACGGACTTATCAACTCGGCATGTGATTTTCAGGGCTTCACTCCACTACTCACCAAACGTGCAAAACTAGAATGAATCTTCTCCTAGAAACTGGAACCATACAAGACATATGTTTTTCTTTTCTTTTGTGAATGAGTGGAGGTCCTTTGGGCCACTGCACGTAAGAAGAGGAAAAACAAAAAAACGAGACAGCTACTGTAGTGTTTGTTTGTAACCCATAACTCTTGGAACACAGACCTGAATCCGAATCCAGAATATATTGCTGGCCTGCTCATAATCCTCCAGCAGTTCGATGAACGTCCTTCCAAATGCGTGGGCTCCCTGCTAATTCTTTGCAGGGGACCCTTTGGAAAAGAGACTAGAACACAATGAAGAGTACAATGTGGTGCCATTTTATTTTATTTTTGCACTTACAATTTTCAAAAGGGAGGCACACATTTGGTTGCCACAGCCTGCCCTTTTGATTTTTTTTTTTTTTTTGTAATTGTGCCGCATCACGTCCGCGCGAGTGTGCATGTGCGCTATGCAGCGCACGTGCACAACTTGCCCGCACGTTATGTGCCACATGTATGCTAGCTTCCCATTAAATAATAACCAAATCGCCCCCTAAGTATGGAAGGCCGAAGGCACAAGAGCGCTCTTTGTTTGGTTGAGAGAATTCTTGCGTAAAGTGTCTGAGGATCCCAAACAACTCTGCGGTCACTGGCTACGGCGAGCGGACATACTTTTTTGTGATTCCCTCTGCTTGAATGTGTAACCAGACGTATCTGCTGCGTGCAGTCGGTCTGTAAGCTTTCTCCTGTGCGAGCCCTCTACGTCGGAGTTGGTTACCGTCGACAGAAGTGGATTGTTTTTATGACATGGCGGAGGCAACTCACAGTAGGTGCTCCCCCACAATAGGAGGCACAGCCTTGGATCCATTTTATCATGCTGATTGTCCGCTCGACGCTCTTGTGACTGTTGCTGAGTCCAACAAATTACAGCAAGGAAACACTTCCTTTACAAACTCTTCATGAAAAAACAATCTCACAGAATCATCACACCTCTGTTTCTGTCTGCAGAACTGGATTGGTTACGATATTGGCATTTCGGGATCCATGCGTTTCACTGTGGACCACATAGCTTAAAGCACCAGTACATGCCAGCTATCAGCTGCGGGCCCCTTTCGGAGGCCACCCGGCGCCGATTCCTTTTATCTACGGCGCTCGGCCTCCTATATTTCCGGAGAGGCTCAAAACAGGTTCTCCAGTTGCCTGGGGCCATGCATGTAGTGGTTGGTGGTTGAAGCCTTTTCTTCCCTTTCCTCTATGATGTTGACCACACAGCTCAAGCCTTTCTGCTCTTTCCTATATGATGTGGTCCCCATGGAG